TTTATGTTCAAAGTCCTAGAGGGAATTGGACTGGAGGGAACATACCTCAACATAATTAAAGCCATATATAACAAACCCACAGCCAACATCATTCTAAATGGAGGAAAAACCAGAAGCATTCCCACGGAAATCAGGAATCAGACAAGGCTGTCCACTACTCAACAGTTTTGAGGATCCTCTATTGGATACTGGGGGTGGGGGAAGGATGAAGATGACTGGTAAGATTCTGTTTTGAGGGTCTCAGTCCATAAGTGGGGGTAAAATCCAGTACCAGGAAATACTGGAGTCTGTGGAAGTCACAGAGAGTCAGGGGAAGTTTCTTTGAAGAGAGAACAGTTGAATCAGGTCCTGAATGAGAAATTTACCATGTATAAAAGTGGGCTTTGAGCCAGGCGTGGTGGCGCACACCTTTAATCCCAGCATTCAGGAGGCAGAGGCAGGCGGATCTCTGTGAGTTCGAGGTCAGCTTGGCCTCCATTAGCAAATCCAAGCCAGCTGCAGCTACAGAGAGACCTTGTCTCAAAAAGACCAAAAAAAAAAAAAAGAAGTGGGCTTTGTTTAAGCCCCAAGTCTGGGGGTGGGGCTTGGTCATTGGCACTTTACATAGCTCCTCAACAATCTTACTGTGCAGCTAGCCACAGAGCCTTTGTGGGGAGGCTTTTTATGCCAATACAGGGACATGGAGGTCACTGACTCTATGAAGAATGTCATGAATTAGACAGCTGTGGTGCTCTCTGAGACACACCTCAGGAGCCTCTGGGTTCTCTTGGACACAACCAAGTATAGAACAGATGCTGGTCATATAAACCATGTTCATTGTGTTGGCTACTTGGTGGCCACACATTCTTTAGCAATTTCAGCTTTCCCATTTGTATAATGTATGTCCTCATGTTATTTTGGTGCTTAAATTATATCATAGATATGAAAATGTTTTAAACTCACATAACAAGCTTGTGTGGTGGTACATATCTGCAATCCAGTACTTGGAAGATAGATTGGAAGGAACAGGAGTTCAAAGCCATCCTGGGCTACATAAGGCTACCTAAACTGACATAATGCTTTGGGAAGGTAAAAAGTGATGTTTCTAGGGCCGGGGAGATGGCTCAGCAGTAGTGTTTGCTGTACAAGCATGTAGAGCTGAGTTTGCTCCCTAGCACCAATGTGAAGAGCTGCGTGTGGTGATGTACTCTTATAATCCCAGTGCTGGGGAGGCTGAGACCAGAGGATCCCTGGGACTTGATGGCCAGCCAACCTAGGCAAGCCCTAGGTCCCAGTGAGAGACCCTGTTTCAAAAAACTAGGTAGACAACTCCTGAGGAACAACATCCAAGATTGACCCCTGGCCTCCACACTCATGTGTATACACATTCATGTTCACCTATGCACCCACACACATGCACACAAACACATAAAACAGTGATGTTTCTATGAGCTCCAACTCCTCTCCCTCCTTTTTTCCATCTTCCCCATTGAAACCATGTGTCAAGATTCTCATCATGACCCACTGTGTGATTGGTGAGAGGCTTGTGGTCAAAGCTGACTGTAGGACCAGTTTTCTCAGGCTTCCCATTCTCTGTTTACCCTGGCTGTGGATCTAAGGAAAGGGTAGACCTGAGTGACTGTATAAGGGACTTTGACACTGACCAGATCCTCTCTTATCTTCCATAGGAACATGCTTGCCAATTCAGCCAGCGTACGGATTCTTATCAAGGGAGGCAAGGTGGTAAATGATGACTGCACCCACGAGGCAGATGTCTACATTGAGAATGGCATTATCCAGCAGGTGGGCCGTGAGCTCATGATCCCTGGAGGGGCCAAGGTGATTGATGCCACTGGAAAACTGGTGATCCCAGGAGGAATCGACACCAGCACCCACTTCCACCAGACTTTCATGAATGCCACATGTGTGGATGATTTCTACCATGGGACCAAGGTAATGCTCCTGTGTGCACAAAGTGGCTTCCTCTTTGCTGTTTTATTTTGCTTCTGGGACTGCTCCAGAAGATACCCACATGAATAGGTGTTTCCCTTTATTGCTACTGGAAGAAGGGTGTCTCTAAGAGTGACTGTGGCAGCTAGGATAGGGACTTAAAGCTAAATGTCCTGAATCGTTTAAAAGGAAGCATTTAGGCCTGTTTTGATGATCAAATCACCCATATACCAGGCTAGGAGCTGACTTTATTTTTATTTTTTTATTTTAATGTCATGTAATACAGACTTAGAGAAAGATGAGAATCAGCTGGTGTTTATTGCTGTGTAGGTTTGTTTGGTGGACATGTTTATACATGGTAAGCTAAATTAAGTCCCCAATGTCTGTGACAGATTGTAAAGTCACCTCTAGCTAGTTTAAATGGCAGAAAGTGTGAAAGAGACATAGCTATCTTATGTAATCTCTCCTGCTTTATTCATTATTTTATTTTATTTATATTTTTGAGACAGTCTCACTATATTGCCCTTGCTGGCCTGGAACTGGATATCTAGATCACTTTGGCCTAAAACTCACAGAGATCCACCTGCTTCTCCCTCCCCAGTGCTAGGATTAAAGGCATGGACCATCATGTCGTGACTTATTTTTGTTTTTTTGAGACAGCATCTCACTCAAGCTGCCTTGAATTCACTATAATCCTTCTTCCTTAGCCTCCCAAGCTCTGGGATTATAGTCATGGACCCATTCTCTCTTCATTCTTTTTTTTGGATTCATTATTTTTATCTTATGTGTATGAGTGTTTTGTACAAATGTATGTAAGTGTATCCATGTGGTCGTACAATGCCTGAGGAGGTCAGAAGAGGGAGTTGGATTCCCTTGCAACTGGAGTTACCGACAGATATTAACCACCATGTGGGTGCTGGGAATTGAACTCAGGTCCTCTACAAGAGCAGCAGTTCTCTTAACCGCTGAGCCATCTCTCCAGCCCCTCTATTCATTATTCTTAAAATCAACTTGAAAAACACCCACATGGCAGCTAACAATCATCCATAACTCCAATTCTAAGGGATCTGACCCCATCTTCTAATCTCCACAGGCATTGCATGACACAGGTGCACTTTACATACATGCAGACATAACACTTATACACATAAAATTAAAAAACAAAATTTTAAAATAAACAGAATTTAATCAGTCTCCAGGGACACAAATCCCCTGCACTGGCAGCAGTGCCTTGTACTGCCTAACTTTCTGAGGACTTGCTTCCAGTGCTGCCTGGATGAAAGGGATTCACCAGTTCCTGGCCTTGTAGGTACAGTTCTGTGGCCCACTTAGACCTGAAACCTCAAGTCCCCCATGGTTCTACATCCTAAAAATCCCACCTCCATTCTCTGTGGTTCTCAGGGAACTCTTCCATGCTGAGGACTCTCTGTGGGATTCATTTTCTGGAGGCTCAGGTGTTCTTGCTGCTTAGGCAGTGACTTTTGATCTGGGCTTTTGGGGATCTGGGCTGGGGCTTCAGGGACAAGAGAAGCTGGTGTCAGGGATACAGTCCTGTGGGCCTGCGCACTCCATGCACATGGCCTAGAAGTATCCCTGAGGTGGGGACATACCCCATCCAATTCAGAAGTTGCAGAATAAGATTCTTGGAAGGCTGAGTTGTGACAAATCACAAGAGCCACAGTCAAGTGTAAGCCAAGGTAAAGATATTCCCTGGCTCTGAGGCACTGTCTCAGCCCAGGGGAGACAAAGTGGGCAGAATCCTTACTTTCTTCTCTGGTTACCGTAGCGGCACTTGGGAGTTTTCTGAGAGGAAGCGTATCCCGGTCACCATTGTATGTACTGAGCTAAGGCCAAGCCAGTTTCGTTTAGGGTTATTGTCACTTTTATGGAAGTGCAACATACATACACAGACAGGCACAAGCATCCTGAACTGTTGGAACTGAACATGCCCTTGTCACCAGCTCCCTTTAATGAACCAAACATCAGCCACACCTGGAAGTCCCTCCAAGTCACTGGTCACAAGTCCTTCAAGGGTAACCACTATCTGACTTGAAATGCTATAATTTTTAAAAATAAGTAACAGCTTAAGGTATCAATCACATACTTGAGAGGCTCAGGCAGGAGGATTGCTGAAAATTTGAGGACAGCCTGTGCTACGTAGAGAGAATCATGTCAGTCAACCAGGGCTACCTAGCAAGACCAAGTCTCAAAAATAAATAAATGTGAAAGCATATGAGTTAGTGGTTTTAGTATATTTATTGTAGGTTGGTTTTGACTGTTAATCACTTTAAGTACTTTGTGTATATAAAATCCAGTAGTGTATGTTCTTACATTGGGTTCTTTTGCTCAAAACTCCTTCCAAGTTGTGTTGCATGTTGTTGTAGTCTGCTCGTTGCTATTCCATCATGTGAGGTGCCGTATAGAGCTTACCCATCAGACTGTTAATAGCATCTCGTCCTTGCCAGTTTGAGGTTACTACAAACACTGTTACTTTTGTCTATGTCTTTTGGCACACATGTCTGTACCCAGGGTGGTGCATATCCCTGGGAGTATACTTGTTAGGTCATAGTATGGTAGGGTTACACTTAGGTTTAGCTTTGATAGATACTGCCAAAACAGCTTCTAAACTAGTTGGGACAACTTATACTCCCAGCAGTGATGTAAGGGACACAGTGATTAAAATCAACATGACTGATAACCATACCGGTCTGTCCTGGGGCCCATTCTGTAGGATGCACAGGCCTTGAGCTAAAAATTACAGCTTGCTGGTTGCTGTCCCTGCTTTTGGGAGACCTTTAGTCCAGGCCCTGATGCCACACTGTCACTATGTTCTCTACCAGCTTTGTAGAGGTTAGACTGGCTTTTTCTGTCTTGTTTTCTACCTTGTTATCAGCTGGGCCTCATTAGCCAGGAGTGACAGGTTTTCCCCTGAGAGCCTTCAGCTCTTTGTAACTGATGAAGAGCTCTGTGTAGGAATCTGTGTGCAAGGTGGTGGGGGAACTCTTGATCTTTTCCAGGCTGCTCATTCATAGGGACAGAAAATATCAGAAAATATCCAAAGGCCTCTGTGAGACCTCCAACTTCTGCAGGTTTGGGCTGTTACAGGCACCCCTACTTTATAAGATGCATTGTGGGGAATTTAAATCATAGACCCCTCCCCAAGCCATCTTGGTTATTGGTGACACCTAGACAGACTCTTGTGTGTGTATATGCTGTGCATATGTGGGCACACATACCACTGCATGTGTTTGGAGGTCAGAGGACAACTTCCTATAGTTGGTTGTCTCCTTCCACCTTTTCTTGAGTTCTGTGAATTGAATTCAGGCCACTAGGTTTGCACAGCAAGCACCTTCACCCACTGAGCCATCTCTCTGGCCTCTAAATGGGTTTTTAAAAATATCAATCTTATTAAGCAAGATTTACCTTGCCTGTGTACCCCAGCCTTCCTGTTGCCCCCCTCTGTTTAGCCCCTGACCCAGCCCTCCTTGGACCCCTCAGGTAGACTCTGTTCAGAGATCATGCCTCAAGTCTTCCAAGAAGGGACTTCTTGCTTTGCCTTCTCCTCTCCTCTACCCCCACATCTCCCCTCCAGTAGCTGCTCCTAGAACAACACTTTGGTTTCCTATTTCCACTAGTTCCTGAAATCTCTCTGGTAAGAAGAGTGCTCTCATTTTAGCAAGGCTGATGGAGACCTGTGGGTTCAATTACTCACACCACCTTGCCCTTCATGCAAAGGCTGTACACTTTGGTTAGACTGCCACTGACCTGCTTGGCTCACACCAAGAAAGGCTTTAAGCATCTGAGTTTAAAATAGAATCACAATCCTGAAGAAAAGCTCCTGAGTGATCAGCTGACAGAGCAGGACGGATCAAACTGCATCTCTTCCTGCTTGTCAGTCACATCTGCTGGGTCTCAAACTCTGCACACACACCCCCTCCACTCCTCAGTGTTTGCATGCTTGTCAATTGGAGACAGCAGTCAGGGCTGGAAAAACAAAATGGTTGAAAGCCTGACTTTGCTGGGAGCATCTGGGTCTCCATTGTGCTGGGTCTGAAGGGAATTCTCTCCAGCACTGTTGCAAGTGCCTCACTGCCTTGGCTTCTTTGAGAGGCCGCGGCAGGCTCTGCCTGGCTCCCCTGCACACAGCCCCATCACTTGATCCACTATCCTGCTGCCTGCCCCAAGCACCACCTCCCCAATACCCCTTCAACCTGCAGGCCTCCCCTCCAGACCAGAAACAAGACTGGAAGCTTGCAATAATACAGACCCAATTCTAGAAGGAAGCTCCTAGTTGTGGGGAGGCAGACATAGGAAGCATCCAGTGACCTAGCTGTGTTGATAAAGAGATGGATTATTTTCTTGTAGGTAGCTCATATTGTATCACCAAGAACATTCACATGGACTCTTAACAGCCATTAATCTATGGTTCTTATAGCCAGGTGACAATGTCACAGTTGTTCCTTTAAAACATAGGTTCCAGCCCCTTCACTAAGATGTTAATAGAGGGACAGGCAGGTACCACTGAGGAAAGATTGCTGTCCACATTTTCTGCGTTCTTCTCCTCCAAAAAATACTTTAAGAACCACAGTCTAAGATGATGGTTTTTCAGTCCATGGAAGCAGATTACATTAGAACCAGTTGGGGAATTTTTAACAGATGCCAACATCAGGCCCTAGCTCAGACCAATTAAGTTAGTATCTCTCAGTCTGCCTCCTCTCCCATCAGTATTTTTTAAGCCTCCCTGGTGAGTCTGACTACTGGCAGGAAGATTATTCAGGAGCTTTCTTGGTTGTTTGGAATGGCCCTGTGCCTTGGCTATACTATGGTACCCATCAGACCCTTGCCTTAAGTGCCAAGACTGACAGCTGAATTGTATTTGCTGGTATGGGCCTGCCTTGCCAGCCATTATTGGCTTCTGCCTTAATGCTTACATTCCAGGGTCCTAGATTTGGACTCCCAAACCCTAGCCTGAGATCTGAAGCCCCTATACTTTCTAAGTGTCC